TTGCCTACTATTGTAAAACAGACACTTGAGTGGGATAGAAAGGAATGTTGGGAAACATTAGAGAAAACTTATAAGCCCACCTTCAGCTTATAACTTGGAATACCTAAAAGGGGTTCTACAACTTGCCCAGTGACATAGGCCTCATGCAAAGCTTTTACAGAGTATAGGACCTTAGGTGGAATCCTGAGTCCCATCTACAACCTTATGAGGTGAGACATTCCCACTAGAAAGGACAAACAGTCTGGAACAGCTACAGGGACAGATGATGCAGCTTCATGATGAACCTGACCTATACTCAGAGTGGTTGTTGTTGTTGTTGTTAAGTGCCATTGAGTCAGTTTTGACCTATAGCGACCCTGTACAGGGTTTCCGAGGGTGTAAATCTTTACGGGAGTAGAAAGCCTCATCTTTCTCCCGCAGAGCGGCTGGTAGTTTCAAACCACTGACCTTAAGGTTCTCGGCCCGATTCGTTACCACTTCGCTACCAGAGCTCCTCTAAATACCAACAGAAAGGGAAAGAGTCTTCACATCAAGTATGAATGCTATCCACTGTGTACACAGGGTAGGTAGGAATGGGCAACTTAGTCATTGGCTACCTAAAATAAGGGGCAATAAAAGCACAAAGTGACTGGCTTACAAGGTTTCAAGAGGGAGTTTAGCTTAAGAGTATGGGGGGAAAAAGAGTCCCTACTGAATAGCTGTCATCTTGTCTAGACAGATCTGGTGAAAAGAGATGGAGATAAGATTTGTAAGATTCAATAGTGAATAACAGTTATCATGACTAATCGCGACTGTCACAATTGTAAAGGCAGAAGTTTTCTAACAAAAAAAGGGGAGTGATTAATCTTACAGTCCAGAAACAGAGGACCTTAGAACCATCACGAGAGGAACGCACAAATAGGTGCGGGACCTTATCCAGAGAAGCAGCAGCGCCAGAGATGGAGCCAGAGATGGGGGCATGGAGAGGGCACGCGGCTGAGGACTCTTGATTCATCAACTAAGAAGAGAAGGACTAAGAACTGGTGGCCAGGATCAGACTTGCAGAATGTGCCCTTTGGAGATGTAAATTATTATATATGCCTGAGTGGGTTTTTTTGTTTGTGTGTTTTTTAAAAAGCTAAAGTGGATAGAGAAAAATACTGTTAACTGATGGTACGTGGAGGGGATTGTAATCAATATCATGAAACAAGGTATATGATTTGTTGAATGTAAAACTGATGATATGCCCTGAAAACTTTCCCTCAATCCACAATAAAAAACTTAAAAATAAATAAATTTCAAAAAAGATGAGTACAGAGCAGTTAAACTATTATAATTTACTTTGTAAATATCCAACAGATTCCATCTAAAATATCTGTTTAAATGCATGGGGGTTGAGTTACATGAAATCAGAAAAACCCAAACCAACTAACACCTGCTAATGTGTGTGCTGCTCAGGCCAGAGGTGAAAGAGAGGTGAGATATGGTGGCTTCACAAGACCCTGGGAGGAGTGGAAGAGCGAAGATGAGAAGAGGAAAGGGCCAAAGAAGCACTGAGCAACCTGTTTATAGACAACAGCAGCAAAGGTCATGCGCAGGGCACAGGGAAAGGTGCTGAGCCAGGTTCTGAGCAAACTGGGGCAGTAGGTGGACCACGAAAAGGATCTGTTGTTAGGGTCACTCAGTCCTCATCTGAATTCTATCATCATAAAACCCCAGCAAGACAAGTGAAGGGGATGTTTGTCGGTAGAGACCTTGGAGGTGCCAGCTAGACAGAGGCAGTGCCTTCCTCCTGCCCTCAGCCTGCTTGCCCTGCCTGGCTAAGCACCTCAACAAACCTCAACATTGACTCTGCCCGGTATCCTGTGACATGAGGGTCCTTCTCCCATTTTCATGAAAAGGAAACAACTATGAATGAGAAAAAACCAGTTACTAGACCCTAGTCACGCTTGTGTCCCTGGCAGAACTCCTTGGGGCTGCGGATCACCTGACGTTTGCTCTTCCTGTATGCTGCAGCTTGAGCATGGCCACCTAAGAGCTCCCACAATGTTTCTCAAAACTTCCTCCAGCCCTCCCAGGGTTCACTGTCCCCAGACACCCAGTATCCCTCACCTCCTCAAAATGAGCTCTCCTGCTCCTGCTGCCACTCGGGCTGCACATCTTTTTCACCCTCAGGTACCAGAGAAGTCCCCACTGATCTGACTGTCTTCAGCGGTTTCATTTCTGCAGATACTATGTTTTTTGAAAACTCCTGTTTAGTTTCCCTCAGGGCAGTTACATATTGAGAATATTTTCCATCTCTCCTTCTCTATGATGTACGCTCTTGAGAACAGGCCCCCTGTCTTCTATCGTATTGAGTGACAATTACCCACTGGAATTGCTTCTTGCTGAAAAGCTCTACTTTCCATGGTTAACATAAAAATGGTAGCAGCTTGCAGTGAATGTCTTAAATGTCATGCACAGTATGTAGGCTCTGGATGGGGAAAGGATTGTCCTCTGCAGAGCCACAGAAAAACACAGCAAGACTCAACATCCTCCAACTCCCAACCAGGCAGAAACTGAAGCAGATGCTGCCGGTGCAGATGTTGACGCTGCCGCCACTGATGATGGGCAGCAAGTTGCCTTATTACCTACCACCCAGGGGCCTTTGTGTCTTCAATTCTAATTCTCAAAAGTACCCTGCAAGGTTAGTATTATTATAGATACACAAGAGATGAGACATATGATTCAAAAGGGACCTAAGGTCGCTCTCCATCTAAAATACAAACATCACCCTGAGATTCCCACAGCTTGTCTCAAAGGTTTTGTTGGAACATTCTCTGCAGAGCCCATTAAAACACAGATACACACAACCTTTGTTTCTCTCTCTCCCCACACATGGGCAATAAAAAGTTTTGACAATCCATATTGAAAGGTAGATTTATTGGCTGTCTCCATTACACATGTCAGCACAGGGCAGTCTGCCTTTGTTTGGGCTTCCTGTGGTACTGAATGACCCATGTCAGGTACAGAAGGTTTGACACATAGTGGACGACAGGAGCAAACTGTTGCTGGTTCTTGCTCCTATAATGATTCATTCCACAGTTTCAGGAAATTTTTTGCTTTGATTTTTCTTTCATAGCATCTTCCTCTTTTCAAACTCCTTTAGAAAGAGAAAAAGAAGAGAGGGAAATAAAAGGTTCAAATTATATTCATAGTCAAAATGATTCTGAAACCTCTTATCTTTAGGATCCGAAAACTGTAAAGGTAAAATGGAGCAAGATGAGGGTACTTGAACATAGAATGCCAGCTTTGCAATCAGTCTGCATCAGCTTACATCTTACTAAAGCCAGATGCAGAGCTTCAGCTTCATTCTCAAGCAGGAAGCAGAGGGCAACTGGAGTTACACTCACTCTTCCATGTGGTGTCACCTCGAATGGCTGACCAACCTGACAACAGGGCTTACCAAGGCTCTCCATCAACCCCAACCAGTTCTCTTTGGAAGACAATGAGAGCCGTAGGCTTCGTTAGTTCAGAATAAAACTAAGCACAGATTCAGCTAAAAGTCTGTGTTTAACAAGTAGGCAAGGCACCTTAGAAATAATCTGAAAAGGAAACGGCCATGAAAATCTTGAGAATTAAGACTACAACAAAATGTGCAGACAGATGTCTGCTGCCACATAGTGGAATCAAATGGTAATACTTGCCTCCGAAGTGAATTCAAGCATTTGGTTTTCCCTTTCTCGTCTCCCTTTTAAATAAAATTCTTTTGCACATTATCACTAACCATCTAGATTCCATTCAAATACCATAGCATAAAATATCATGCTCCCAAAAGCAGGGTCATGCAAGCAATCAATAAAATAAGGAGTCCATTTCATTATCCCCAAAGAAGAGTGCAACAAATCAGGACTGGGAAAAATTCTCTGAACACTGTTCCCACCCAGCCTGCTTTTAACATGCTGAAGGCATTTTGTTTGTTTGTGACTATCAAAATAATAGAGAGTGCAAGCCTTAAAATAATCACTCCAACAGACAGGCTGAAAACCATTTCCAAAAGATCATGGAAGACACCAAATAATTTAGCATATATTTTTACATGTTCTTTGGAAAAGGGAAAAGCAAAGCAAGCAGTTAGGACGTCAAACCTCCAGTTCTACACAACAATGGCATCAGGACACAGCCATGGTCAGAAAGAAATGCTGGCTCTCCCTTCTAATCATCAGACCTCCCTCAGCCTGGCTGCCTCCTTCATCTAGTTTCCATTTCCTGTTTACTCAGCCCTGCCCCCTCTCCCTCTCCCTGGAAGCAGAGACCTCTAGGGCCCTCCATGGAAAAAACTAAACACAAACTGAAGGTAGTTCTCTGTACTCCCCCAAATGGATTTCCTGGCACTTCTTATGAGCGCTGAGATGCACTCCTATAATCTGCATGCAAAATGGCAAAGCCAACCTATTAAGACACTTGGAATCAGAAAGTTCTTTTTGGTCATACTCAATCAGGACTTTGGAGTGTGGTGCTTTAGGATAAGTACTGCCCTGAAAGGTGGTCTGAATCCCAGGGTCAGAGGTTCAAACTTACCAGTCACTTAACAACAAGCAAGAAAGAATGAATATCAGAATGAAATAAAATAGACTAAGGACCCAGAAGACCAAGTCAGGGTTCCCAAGCCCTGTGTACGGGACCCACAGCTCACCTTGTAGATGGTGCTTCCCAGCTGGGCAGGAGACATGCTGATCACAACGCCTGCGTTCTGCAGAGCAGAGATCTTCTCTTTGGCTCCACCTTTCCCTCCAGCAATAATTGCCCCCGCATGACCCATCCTCCTACCAGGAGGAGCGGTTAATCCAGCAATGAAGGACACCACAGGCTTGGCATTTGGACCCTGGAGAGAAAGTAACATTTTAAACAAACAATGCTGTCTTCAGAAAACACTTCAATACAAGGTTCTACCACCAGTAAATGGAAAACTGGCTGCTTGGGAAGGTCCATGAGTCATCCCAAGAAAGAAAATCAACATGAACATTAAGTCACATAGTTCTCCCATTGGGATGACTTAACTATTCCACAATACCTGTGGAAAACAGCCCTGAGCAAGTTTGTTATCTTTAATACTGCAACTTTAGTGGCATAACCTACTGAATAAATATACAAGTGACGTCTTCCACTTGAAAAACAAAAAAGCACACTTGAAAATGTATCTTATGTGGTTTGTGAAAACACAAGACGACCTGACCTTGCGCTGTGATTTATTTTTCAATATTAGTTCATCCACAGTGCATTTGGTTAACAGAAAACGCTGAGGTAGAATAGCGTTCTGGAAAGGAGCCAGGAGCAGGAGGCATCTTACTCAATCCCCTGCTAACTATGAACTGAAGTGACTGACTAGGAAGCCAGCGGTCAGCCCTCTGCAGTTCTATGGAGTCTAAGGAAGACAAGGATTAACTTTATTAAAAAAAAATCTGCTCTGATGTGTAGCCTCTGTGTGCATGTATAAACACTCAAAGCCCACACACAGAATATATAAAAGTCTTCTGCTCCAGATATATGATACAGTCAAGGAAATAATACAAAACATGTCTATCCATGAATCAAGGCGCTCTGGTAGCGTAGTGGTTACAAATCGGGCTGCTAACCTCAGGGTCAACAGTTCAAAACTACCAGTTGTTCCGTGGGAGAAAGATGAGGCTTTCCGCTCCCATAAAGATTTACAGCCTCAGAAACCCTGTGCAGGGTCACTATGAGTCGGAACTGACTCCACGGCATATTCTTAAATGAAACACATGCAAGCTCACACACACTTTTTTTAGATGAGTGCATAGCAATGAATGCAGTTTGCTTCCACTACCCTGATCTAACCTAAGGTGCCAACAAGCAAGACTCTGTAGAATGTGGCGTTGCTCACTACTGCCTCCTCTCCCAGTCTTCCCTCCACTTTAGCTTCCAGGCACCTCAGATGTTTATGGTTCCCCAAAAGCACCAACCTGTCTTCTGCCTGTTTCTATGCTGAGAATGTTCTCCATTCAACTTGGATCCTTGACAAATGTCCATTTAACAGCTAAGACTTGCTCAGGTCTCCTCCTGTCCCAAAAGCCTGACTCTTCGTCATAGCCACCCAAGCGCTAGTAATTGCTCAGCCTCTCTCCAGCAAACCTGCTGTGCTTTTTACATGTTTCTATTGTTAAACTCAGGACACTGGTGTACCCCACTTTCCATGTGCTCCCCTATGAAACCGTGAATTCTTTAAACAAAAAGAAGGTGTTCTTATTCATCTCTTTATGCCCAGTAAACATCTGTAGTACCAGTAGAATAGATTACAAAGAAGATTCTCAAAGTCATTATTCATTCACACCTGGACTTTGAGTCAGAGATGCATCTCATATTTGAGTGACACATGTTTCCCTGCCTTGTCAGACAGTGGGGAATACAGTTACACCACAAGGAAGCAAGAGTAGGATGACCTTAGCATGTCAAACAAATTTACTCTGTCCTGGTGATAAAAAAGAGTTATTTGAGATTGTTACGCAGAGAAAAATACAATCAAAAGAAAATGAGGATCTATAGTCTGAAGGCTTGAAATACATACTGATCAAGAGCAAAGAATACAGCCTGCAATATGCATGCACCTCAATGTAAAGAAAACAAAAATCCTAACCAATGGACCAGTCAATAACATCTTGGCAAATGGAGAAAAGATTCAAGTTGTCAAAGTCTTTAATTGTGCTTAGATCCAGAATCAACACTCATGGAAGCAGCAGTCAAGCAATGACCTATGGCATTAAGCAAATCTGCTGCACAAAACCTCTTTAAAGTGTTCAAAAGCAAAGATGTCATTTTGAAAACTAAGGTGCACCTGACCCAAGTCATGGTATTTCCAAACATCTCATATGCTTGTGAGAGTTGAACAATGAAAAAGGAAGACCACAAATGAATTGATGCATTTGAATTATAATACTGGAAAATAATGAAGGTTCCATGGACTGTGCTGAAAGGAGAACAAGCAGAAAGCATGCTCCTTAGAAACAACGCTGGTGAGACTTTGTCTCTTGTATTTAGGGCATATTATCAGAAGGAACTGATCCCTGGAGAAGGATGTTATACTTAGAAAAGTGTAGGGTTATACACGAAGAAAACAAAAGGTCATTAAAAAGACAGGAGAGAAAGAAAAGACAAAGTGGATATAAGAACAGACTCTGAAACTTGCTCTTGAAAGTAGAGTAGCTAAAGTGAATGGAAGAACTAAATTGGATATTTCAAAGCACTACTCAAGACAAAGTATTATAATGAATGTTCAAGGACCTGGAGTTAGAACACCAAAAGGGAAGAACACAACATTCACGGCATTTCTTAACCCCAAATAACTTAAGAAAACATTCAAGCCTCGAGTTGTAATACTGAAGGATTTGATGGACAAAATACTGAACGAAGCAGGATTATCAAAAGAAGATGAAATGAACACATAGAGTGTCTGTACCAAAAAGAATTGGTTGATGTTCATCCATTTCAGAAGGTAGCAAGAAGTGATGGTATTGAAGGAGTAAGTCTAAGCTACACTGAAGGCACTGGTGAAATACAAGTTTCCAGGAACTGATGGAACACAAACTGAAATGTTTCAATAAACTGATGTATCACTGCAAGCACTCACTTTTCTATGCCAAGATATTTGGAAGACAGCTACCTGGCCAACTGACAGGAAGAGTTCTAGATTTATGCCCATTCCAAAGAAAGATGACCCAACAGAATGAATCACCGAACAGTATCATTAATATTACATGTAAGTAAAATTTTGCTGAAGACAATTAATAAATGATTGCAACAATACATCTACAGGGAGCTACCAGAAACTCAAGCTGGATTCAGAAGAGGAAGTGGAATGAGGAATACGACTGCTGACATCAGATGAAGCTTGACTGAAAGCAGAGAATACTGGAAAGATATTTACTTGTGTTGTACTGACCACGCAAAGGCATTTGACTGTGTGGATTATAACAAACTATGGATAACAGTACTAAGGCTGGGAATTCTGGAACATTTAATTGTGCTCATGTAGAACCTATACAGAGACCAAGAGGCAGTCTTTCTGACACAACCAGAGGACAATAAATGGTTTAAAAATCAGGAAAGGTGTGGTGCCAGGGTTGCATCCTTTCACAATATTTACTCAGACTGCATGCTAAATAATATTTCAAGAAGTTGGACTATATGAAGAAGAATGCAACAACAGGATTGGAGAAAGGCTTATTAACAACTTATAAAGTGTAACTGACACAACCTGGTTTGCTGAAAGAAAAGAGGATTTGAGGCACTTACTGATAAAGATCCAAATAGATACACTTAAGTATGTATTACACCTCAATATAAAGAAAACAAAAGTCCTCACAACTGAACCAATAAACATTTTATATTTCATGATAAATGGAAAAAAAGATTGAAGTGGTCAAGGACTTCATTTTACTGAATCTACAGTCAATGAACTTGGAAGCAGAAGTCAAAAAAAAAAAAATCAAAGGATCAATCTGCTGCACAAGGTCTCTTTAAAGTGTTAAAGAGCAAAGATGTCACTTTGAGGACTAAGGTGAGCCTGACCCAACCTATGATATTTTCAATTGCCTCACAGCATGTGAAAGCTGGACAATGAATAATGAAGACTACATAAAAATGGATGCATTTGGACTACGGTGTTGGTGAAGAATACTGAAAGCACCATGGACTGCAGTGAAACCAACAAATCTGTCTTGGACACAGTAGACCCAGCATGCTCCTTACAAGCAAGGATGGTGAGATTTCATCTCTCATACAATGAACAAGCTGATCAGGAAAGCCCGGTCACTGGACATTGTCCTTGCTAAAGTGGAGAGTCAGTGAAAAGAGACAGATCCTCAACAAGATGCAGTGACACAGTGACAGCAACAATGAGCTCAGATGAAACAACTGTGAGGGCAGCAGAGCACCAGGCAGTACTTCGTTCTGTTGTGTGTAGGGCTGCTATGAGTTGGAACCAACTCGATGGCAACTAACAACACTGCATTAGAGGACTGGATTGGGCATAAAAGAGAACAGTTCTGCCCTCCAGAATGAAGTCTAGCTGAGCACCAGATATCTAGTCCTCCTTGCAGAAAGAATGGTCAAAGGTTAATGAGAATAAAAACAAATGGTATGTCTGATGGGACATGATCTGGAAATAAAGGTCATTCTGTTATGTAAGAGACTAGAATACCACGGTACAACTGGCCTTTAAACAATGGCATGAGGCACTAATGGCTGTGTTTCAAAAGCACAGATAATTCAGATGGTCTTAGTGAAACGGACTGGGAGAGGAGGAATGGCGGTAAAGGAGTCGAGACAACAGTGAGGAAATACTCCCAATGAGATACTCCCAATGACTAAAGATGAGGAGCGGAACTAATGCTCAAGGACCAGTTAGAGAAGAGGCTCTGAATCGGACACATACTGCAGTGGTCTCTGGGACACGTTCTGGTAACTGAATAGAAATGAGATGAGAGAAATCAGAAATCGTTCTAAGCCTTCTACCTTGGAAACTGCATTATGACCTTGTTTATATGAGGAGGCTTCAAATAGTTGGTAGAAAAATGGGATGAAAAGATAATGGAATTTTTTCCACAAACTTTTTGTAGCCCCCTTGCATAAGATCATCTACACTTAGCACAGAAAACAGATCCAAGGAAGTGAAAAGAGGAGAAAACCAAGAGGACACATGAAAACAAATCCAGGTCCCTGGTGACCACTACTACTGCTTAATCATCTTAACTCTGACACTGCTTTAGTAGCCATCACCAGTGGCCTGGATTTGTTGGGCACATGTCCTCTTGGTTTTTCTCCTGGGTCTTCTCCTCTTTTTACAACTCAAAAAAAGTATTTAGTATATGGCAGGGACTACTTTGCTGTACATGTGTTATAGTCATTTAAATGTCCTAAGCATGGGGTGGAGCCTGTGGTGGAGGGTGCAGAGTAGAAAACTAGAGAACAGGTATTACAGAGGAAGGGAATGGAGACTCAACTCAGAAAGGGTCTAAACTTCATTCTAAGGGGCCAGTACTCAAGGCTTCACAGAAAAAGGTTTAATTTTATCTTTCATGTTTTCACTAAAAAATAATCTTTGAAAAAAATGTAAAATTTTCTAAATTAAGCCTATAATATCATTCAGGAGTGTGACAGCTAGCTTTGTGTGTAAACAATACTCAGTGGTTTGGCCAGATACAGAACTGGTTGCTATTCTGTGATGTGATCTGACCAAACCATTGAGAGGGGTATCTCCTTGGGGTTGTAGGTATTCTGGCAAAGAGCTAACTGTCGTTGGAATGGCTCTATTCTCATTAGCTGGTATAAGAATTTTAGGACTTAAGTGTATTTAAGTCTGACCTACAGTTCATGGGATGTAAGCCTGTAAAAGTCTCTGGCAGGCTACCCAGTCTACAGATTTTCACACTTGCCAGCTCCACAAATGCATGAGCCAATCCCCTGAAGTAAATATATCTACGTAGATGCATGTATGTTTGTATATATACATGCACATGTACATATACGTAAATATACATCACAACGGTTTTCCTTCGCTAGAGAACTCAAACCAAGACAACAGCATACAGCTGTATTTTCCCTAGCATAAACTTACTGAATTATGTTGCTTCAAATAATCTGCAGCATCTTCTTCTGCATTACCACCAATTTCACCAATCAATATGATGCCTTCTGTGGCTGGATCATTCAAAAAGACTTCAAGGCAGTCAATAAAATTTGTTCCATTAAAAGGATCACCTCCAATGCCTGAAAGAATCAATGAATATCAGCACCAATTAAAATATATGAACGAACAATGGAATTTAGGCCAACAAATGTTGTTTCTATACATTTTATTTTGCCTGCCCTTCCTTCCCAATTTTATGAAATGTATCTTCACTTTTACACTTAATATTAAAACAAAATGCTACATATTTTATTTGTAATATGACAAGAAGGCTAAATTGGGTTTGGTTCCTGAGTCACACAAGGCAACCCTCTTTTAGTTTGAGCTCTTTTATCAAGTCTCTTCCCTCCTACGAAAATTACTCCCAGATAACTTTTTCTCAAATGAGTCTTTGGATGAATTTGTGCTGCAAGCAGATGTTTCACCAGAGAAAAGGGAAACAAAATTACTTTTCTGATTTAACACTTGAGAATTTCTTTGCACAATTAAACAACTGTAGAGGAACCAAGCACAAGTTTTAAGAATCAAATCTCAGTGAAAGGCAGGATGGGAGATTCCCAGACTCCCTTAGATCCAGAGCAGATGATGACAGCCTGGACTTGGCAAGCCTGTCTCAAAACCCATCCTTAACTCACCATCACACTACGTTGCCTTATGCCTAACATACTGTTGTGCACACACAAAGGCTCATGGGATATTTGCAAAACTGCATCTATAGATTTGAATTGCAATAAAACTATACCAGGGTTTTGTTTTTGTTTTTTTTATAATTTCTTTAAATTAAATAAACAATTTTTGAAAGGCTAAAAAAGGTAATTTAAGGATTCAAAGACACATTTATAAAAATAAGAAATTTGCCTGATTTTTGGTCATTAACATTTGAAAACGTAAAAATCTGGAATCTTTTTTCAAGTGGGAGACAGTATGGTGTGGATAAAAAAAAGAGGGCTCTGGGAAACTCAGCCTTGATTTTCTCACCAACAAAACAATGACAGCACAACTTCCCAAGTAAGAGGCGGCTCAGAGGGCTGCCTTACGAATGAGATCATGAATCGCAAAAAATAAAGTAACTGAGACACTTGTTGTCATTGTGCTGACCATGTCCCAGAAGCCAGGTAAGTGATGTCATCAGGTGCCAACGCTCTCCTGGAGCCACAAGACCCAAGTAGTTTGCTCCTCAGCAAGGAAATTAAATCTTGGGACTAAAATTTTTGTAAAAATACATAAGAGCTTCACACTTAAAGCAAATTAAAGACGGCAAAAGCCTTTTGATAAAATGATGGCAAATACTCTTGGCAAACCATCAAATCAGGAACTACTATTGTACTCATTTAATGATGACACTGCAATTGGAACTTCAAAAAGTTTGTGGGAAAATGGAATTAAAAGATAGTGGAATGTTTCCACAACTTTCTAAAGGCACCTCATACAATAACTTTAGCAAAATACCCTCACCAATACACAAAGACTGCCCCAATCCAACTTGTGTCGTTTGGTGAACCGCTTCATAAGTCAGGGTGCCAGATCTGGATACAATACCTTAAAGAAAGAAAACTTAAAAATGTTAGACTGTGTTCACACGATAGACTACCAGACAGTCAACTAAATTACAAATACTCTGAGGAACTGTGGTACATGAATTTTCTTGATATGGCTCTTCTATCCAGAGTTTTTGTAACTGTCACCAAAAGACATGGTGTGACCATGCAAATCAGGAGCACTGCACTCTAACGTGGGAACTGGTTAGCTCTGCTGGGTCTCAACTGAGGCAGGAATGGGGAACCTCACAACCTCCAGGAAAGAAGAGACAGGAGTGGAGAGTGCCCTTTGGACCCTGAGCACTTGCAGGAAGACGTGGCAGTGCGGGGAAAGTGGCTGAGCAGCAGCAGATGCAGAGCCAGAGCAGGTTTCCCAGGATGAAAGAGTTAGTAAAGCTGAGAGTGCCCTTTGGGCATTTTCCAGCAGCACTGAGGGAGCCTGGTGTGGAGCTGCAGGATAGAGCACTGGACCACAAGGTCAGTGATTCCAGCTCACCAACTGCTCCTTGGAAACCCTATAAAGGGTTATCATGACTTGGAACAGACTTGACTTGACAATTAACAATAGCCATCAAGGAGCTTTAACACTTGCCTGAGGAGGGCAGAGGTCAATAGGCCAGTGTGGCTTAGAGGCCTAGAGGGAGAGACAGGCATGCCTGTGGTACAGCTGAGACAAGCACTCCTATCCAATCAGCTGTCCTATCCTGAGTTGTTTCTGATGCTGAATTGTAGCCTATTAACATCCTTAATGCAGTCCTGGTGTGGCGTTGTGGGTTAATGCGCTAGACTGCAGTCGATTTCAACCACAAGGTCAGTGGTTCACGTTCATCAGCTGCCTCTCGGAAACCTTATACAGGGTCGCTATGGGTTGGAACTGACAACAAAAAAACTAAAAAAAAAAAAAAAACTCAATAAAGGAAGCCCGGGGGGGGAATGCAAGGGAAGCAACTGAACAAAAAGGCAGTTTGAACAACAAGGTCAACGGTTCAAACTCACTAGCCACTCCTAGGTTGCTATAAATCAGAACGTACTTGATGGCACTTAACAACAACTTCCTTAATAAACTATATCATTTGAGTACAGTCTATGTGGCCAGTGCAATAGATTATGGAACCTAGCAGAGAAGCAGTGTTGTGGGAGGGATGGATGGCTGGTGTCAGAAGAGGTAAAAAAGGTTGGAGGGTGAAGGCACGTCTAACCTCTGCCTCATAGTAATTGGCCTTGGGCTGGTGATAATCCTCTTTCCCCACTGGAAGCCAGACACAACTATGGCACTGTGGGTTAATGCACCAGACTGCAAAACCTTTGAACTGTAAGGTCGGAGGTTCAAGCTCACCAGAAACTCCTCGGAAACCCTATACATGGTCGCTATGGGTCAGAATTGAATTGACGGCACTTAACAACAACAACAACCATGGAGTTCAACTCAACAGTACTTAACAACAACATGGGGTCCTGCTGTGGCATTGGGGATAAAGCATTGGAGCACAAGGTCAGTTTGAACCATAAGGTCGGCAGTTTAAACTCACCAGTCGCTCCTTGGAAATCCTATACAGAGTCGCTCTGAGTCGGAACTGACTCGCTGGCACTTAACAACATGGGTACAATTCTGTCTCGTAAAAAGTACAACCAGAATGCTCCTTAGACATGATGAGGATGGCGAGACTTCATGTCACATACTTTGGACATGTCAAGAGGGACCAGTCCCTGGAAAAGGACATTATACTTGGAAATGTATAGTCACCGTAGAACAGCACCAGTGGTCTCGTACTGACCCAAGATGACATGAGAAGAGTGTTCCTAGTTAGAGAATCAAAGTGCACTAAGGATCCAGTGGATATTGAGATTCATGGAAAGTGAGATTGAAGCAGGAACTGGAAGTGACAATAAAAGAACAACATGAATGATTCTGTGCTGATAGAAATGTTCATAATCTTGAGTATCAACACACACCAGTATCCTGGTTGTGGCATTGTACCATATGTGGCAAATGTTGCCACTGGGAGAATCTAGGTAAAGATTTGTTTGTATTACTTCTTGCAACTGCATGTGAGTGTATAATTATCTCATTAATATAAAAAATGTAATGGGAAAAAAAAAAGTATGGAGGTGTCAAGTGTGTCACATGTGGTTGAGAGTACAAAACCATGGTAAAGGTAAATATCATCAATTACCGAGACTTCGCTGCCATCCAGAAAAAAAAAAGCCAGCAGTATTGGATCCAGGTTCCCTACGCTGACTGAGACGGGACCTATCAGGGGAAGACTGAGGACAAGGACAAAGAGAAAGCCTCCCCCGGGAGCTAGAGTCCTAGATTCAACTTCTAGCCTTCTCCCAAACTGACAGAACTGTTGGTTAAAGTAAAACAAGAAAAAAAAAAAAAAGAACAATTTAGAATCCAGTGGTTTCCTTCAATACATTCACTGAGCTGATAACACAATGTTATTAACACAACTAGAAAGCCACTAATGCTGCCATCCCGTTACGTGTGTAGCTGTGTGCCATCGAGTCCGTTCAGATTCATAGCAACCCTGTAGATGGTTCTGCAGAGCAGCTGATGGGTTTGAATTGCTGATCTTATAGTTAGCAGTCCAGTGCTTATCCTACAGCACTATACCAGGGCTCTTCATCAGTTAGGACTATTAGAGAGTCCAAAGGACTTCCTAGGTATGTCATATTTTTGTTTTGTTTTTGTAGGTTTCTGGGAGCCTTAGAAAGCAAGGCAGTGATCAGAAAGGTAATGAAGCACAGGCCCCTCCTTCCACACTCACATCAACACTGTAGCAACAGACGTGCAGAGCAGACTAGTGTATGAGTAGCAAAAGGCTATCAGTGACTACCAGGATCCTGTCACTGGAGCTCAGCTGGCCTATGGAACCTCCTGTAATCTACTTCAGAAGACAGTGTGACAAGTGTCTAATGACAGGTCAACAGCGCTAAGAGACAAATTAAAAAAAAAAAAAGAAAAACATGACCTTTAACCTATATTCCTATAAACTACACAGCACATATTCACCCACCGTGTGCACTATTCCTACTTAGTTTTAATATAGCCATGGGGAATAAAGAAAATGCTGTAGCCACTTACTATTTTGAAGAAACAGAACAGCTAAGAGCTAAGTGTGAAGATTTTTTAAATGCGCATAAGGTGCTTAACTCTGAAAGACTGACTAACCTGGCTATTTTCTCAAGGATCTCAATACACAGCAGTACAGTTCCCCCAACATCTCTTCAGAAAATTTGTGATATTCAAATAAGCAAAATAAAGATAAACTTCAATTCTTAGAAAAGACAAAGATAAACTAAACATAAAGCACATATATCTACACATACATTTAGAATCTTTATGTTGTTGTTAAGTGCTGTTGAGCTGGTTCCGGTCCTGTATAGGGTTTCTGAAGAAGAGCTGGTGGGTTTGAACCACCAACCCTGCAATTAACAGCCCAATGCTTATCTTTTAGTGTCAGATCAGGACTCCAGAATATTTATAGAACCTTTAAATTTAACAATTAAAGGACAAACAGCCCAATAAAAAATAATGATTAAGAAATTTGGATACTTCAAAAAAGAAGACACACGAAAAGCCAATAAACACATGAAAAGATGTTTCACATTATTAATTAACAAGGAAATTCATTAAACCCACAACAAGATACTCATTTTACTGCCGGTAAAATGGCTAAAACCATTAGCATTGCCAAAAAGACTGGCCATGGTAAGGGTTTTAGAAGATGGGGAGCAGCTGAATTCTTGTTGATGGAGATATAAAATGATACAGCCACTTCATGAAGTAGTTGATAAATTCTTAAAAAGTTAAACAGACTTCTACCCTATAATCTAGCAATTCCAATATGGGGCATTTTCCTCAAGAAAAATAAAAATGTGGCCATAAAAAGACCTATGAACAAAATGTGCTGACCTAAAAACAAGGTCCATTGAATGGATAAACCAACTGTGGTACAGTCATACAATAGAGCACTAAAAAACAAACCCATAGCCCTTAGAGTTGATTCCACCTCATAATGATCCTAAAGGACAGAGCAGAATTGTCCCATCAGGCTTCTAAGGCTGTAATCTTACAGAGCACACTGCCGCATTTTTCTCCTATGGAGCTGGAAGGGTTGAACGTCAGCCTTTTAGTTAATTAGCAGTCAAGAGCTTAACCACTGCAGGGCTCCTAACAGAATACTTGTTGTTAGGTGCCATCAAGTCGGTACGACTAATAGCGACCCTATGCACAGCAGAACAAAACAATGCCCGATCCTGGGCCAACTTCACTACTGTTGTGACATCTGAGTCCATCGATGCTGCCACTTGGCCAATCCATCTCGTTGGAGGTCTTCCTCTTTTTCTCTGACCCTCCACCTTACCAAACATGGTATCCCTCTCCTGCGACTGGTCCCTCCTGACAGTATGTCCAAAGTATGAGACACAAAGTTTGGCTATCTTGGCCTCTAAGGAGCACTCTGGCTGCACTTCTTGCAAAAACGGATCTAGTGGTTTTTTTGGCAGCCCCTGGCACTTTCAATATTCTCTTCCAACACCATAACTCAAAAGCATCAATTCTTCTATGATCTTCCTTATTCACTATCCAGCTTTCGCAGGCATATGAGGTTACTGAAAATACCATAGCTTGGGTCAGGCTCACCTTAGTCCTCAAGCTGACATCTTTGCTCATCAACATTTTAAAAAGGTCTTATGCAGCAAACTTGCCTAATGCAATACGTAATTTGATTTCTTGACTGCTGCTTCTCTGAGTGTTGATAGTTGATCCAAGAAGAATGAAGTCCTTGACAACTTCAGTCTTTTCCCCACTCTTAAGAATGTTGTCTATTGGCCAGTGGTGAGGATTTTTGTTTTCTTTACATTGAGATGTAATCCATACCAAAGGCTGTGCTCTTTGATATTCATCAGTATATATTTTAAGTCCTCTTCACTTTCAGTAAGCAAGGTTGTATCATCTGCATATCGCAGGTTGTTAATGAGTCTTCCTCCAATCCTGATGCCATGTTTTTCTTCATATAATTTAGCTTCCCAGATTATCTGCTCAGTATATACAGACTGAGTAAGTATGGTGAAAGAATACAACCTTGGCGCACATCTTTCCTAATTTTAAAACATTCAGTGTTCCCTTATTCTATCCCAACAACTGCCTCTAGGTCTATGTACAAGTTCCTCATAAGAACAATCGAGTGTTACGGAATACTCATATTCTGCAATATGGTTCATAGTTTGTCATGATCCACAGTTGAAAACATTTGCATAGTCAATAAAATCTCTTTCTGGTATTCTCTGCTTTCAGACAAAATCCATCTGACACCAGCAATGATAATCCCCATTCCACAGCCTAGTATGAATCCAACGTGAACTTCTGGCAGGGCAGTTCCCTGTCAATGTACTGCTGCAGTTGTTCTTTAATTATCTTTAGCAAAATTTTACTTGCATGAAATATTAATATTGTCCAGTGATTTATGCTTTCCATTGGGTCACCTCTCTTTGGAATGAACACAAATACGGATCTCTTCCAATCAGCTGGCCAGGTAGCACTCTTCCAAATTTCTTGACATAGATGAGTGCAAAATACTGAATTGAGTAGTAAGAGAATCTTTAAAGTCTCTAAAATTATCTTCACTGATTCTGCAGCACTATAATTACTTCTCAAATAAGCATATTCATTTCAGGACATTAATTCATTACTCTCACTGCAAAACTTCTCTGGTATTCAAGTTGAATTCAGTAAAATGAGTGTGACTTGTACAAATTTTCACAAGTCACAAAATTTCCTGGAGTTTTGAGAGTTTAAGGCATGTATATATATATATATTTTTTTTTAGCCAATAAGAAAACAACAAACATACTTACCAACTCTTCCTTTCTTGTGAATATGGCCAGGCATGATACCAATTTTGCATTCTCCAGGCTGGAAATAAATCAGTTTCATAGAAGGAAAAAAAAAGTAATTCAGAGTTCATATATACTTGGACTGACTCACAGTTGGTTAGTCTCAGGAGAGGCTAAATTGGGCCTATTTGTATTTTCCACACTCACGTTGATGACTCCAGGGCAGTTTGGACCTATCAGCCGTGTCTTTCCCTGGCGCAGTAGTGCATGCTTGACCCGTACCATGTCCTGCTGGGGGATACCTTCAGTAATGCACACAACCAAGGGCATTTCTGCCTCAAGAGCTTCATTAATTGCAGCAGCAGCAAAGGGAGGAGGAACATAAATGACAGACGCTGTCGCTCCTGTCTTTTCTTTAGCCTGAAATATAAAGCATAAAGTACTTTAACTATTGGTTAGGTCATAAATACTATAAAATTAATTCTATGACATTAAGAAAGTCTTGGAGCCAGGAAAGGCTATCAACAGGACACATAAATGTTTTCACTCTTCCCATGCACAAGCCCGGTTCACTATGATGTCTACTAAGAGCAGAAGCAAGTACAGCCTTGTCTCTGCCACCTTAGAGTCTCACCATGGACCAAAGGTTCTGTGACCTTTCATTCCCTCAGGTGATGGCATATCAGCAAACCTGAAAGCAAAGCACTGCTCGATTTGGGCCTCTATCTCCTTGTTCCTATGGACATGCTTATTTTTATCATTCTATAAAGACGCTGCACTGCCTATAAAGTAACAAAGATCTGAAACTTCTCCAGGAGAGCAAAAACAAGAGCTACTAAGCTTCCAAGGCTTCTGAAACATCTGTTTAAAAATAACGTATTACTAAATCTTATTGAGAGACAGAAAAAAAATGAAGTTTTTCAAGCTGACATTTTACTCTAAATGTGTACTAGAAATAAATACACCTAACTAAAATGTGTATGTGTAAATAGTCATCAAATAAGATACAAGGTGGCTTCAACAGTTTATGGAAAAATGAAAAGATAATGGAATTTCCCACAAACTTTTAAAAGTCCCTCCTTGTATAGGTCAAATAAGCATTAAGTTATTACCCCTGCTACATTACCCCTCATAATGCACACAAAACTTGTGGAGACCACCAGTTTGACTAGTGTTCTTCCCTCTGTGGCCATAAGCCCTGCATATGGTCTTCCTTACTCTCTGAATATAGCACTATAGATGTCTCCTTGTACCCACATCTCTGGATGGCCAAGTCTCTCTGATTACAGGCTAAGGCCCAGAATCACAGGCTGTCAGTGATCTCTGAGTCTCCAAGACTAGCAGCACCTACTACGTGATGGTAAGTTGTTGGTAAGTAACATCGAGTCAATTCCGACTCATAGTGACCCTGTATGGGGTTTCCAAGGCGCAACTGGTGAGCTTGAATATAGGGCCTGTGAAAGGGTTCACAGTAGGTCTCCTTTAAAGCTTCATCACAACCCTACATGGGTATTATTTTTGTTTTACATATCAAGATGCTGAAGCCAAGAGGGACTAAACAATCTGCATAAGGTC